CTTTAGGGGTCGAACGACCCTTTCACAGGAGTCGCCTAAATACATCCTGCATATCAGATATTTACATTACGATTCATAACAGTAGCAAAATTACAGTTATGAAGTAGCAACGAAAATAATTTTATGGTTGGGGGTCACCACAACATGAGGAACTGTATTAAAGGGTCGTGGCATTAGGAAGGTTGAGAACCAATGCCCTAGACCTTCCTTTCTATCATAAAGATGGTGATGGAGTTGAACTTCTCTTTGCATGTCTTTCTGTGTTGCTGAGGCATAAATGGCTATATGCAACTGCAATTCATCTTTTTCCTCTTATACTTTCATTATCCCAGTGTCTGATCATACATTGCCTGAGGAACTCCCCACAACCATAGAGCTCACAGAGATGGCATTGATACTTGTATGTGGTCTTTGAAGGTTTTCTTGGCACATGCAGGTCCAAGGATGTTCCAAAATGTTTGTGTGTTGAGGGTGGTGATGGGCAAGGAAAGGAAGAGAAACACAGAGAGTATAGAAACCATTTTCTTTTTCTTGCTATTAAAGGGGAAAAAAGAACCTTCTAGCACTTTAGGATCATTGCCCTGACCAACATTTCTCCTTAGAAGCATTTTGCTTTACATCCTAGACTTGTGAGGGCAAATATACCAAACACTGCCACACTTGGTTCCCAACTAGTATACAATACAAAAGATTCAAAACTCATTATTATTTTTAATATATTTTTATTGATTTCAGAGAGAAAGGAGACAGAGAGATATAAACATCAATGATGAGAGAGAATCTGATTGGCTGCCTCCTGCATGCCCCTTACTGGGAATCAAGCCTGCAACCCGGGCATGTGCCCTTGACCGGAATTGAATCTGGGACCCTCAGTCCGCTGGCCGCCGTCCTATGCACTAAGCCAAACTGACCAGGGGGAAACTTGTTATTATTAAAAACCAATGAGCATTTATAGAACTCACCTGTTGGAAGTCAACTAAACAGCTGGGCTTGTTTATCCATTTGTCAGTTCATCTCCTGGTTGTGGCAAAAGTGGGAGAGAACAAGCAGCAATATAATAGTCTCTCACCTCTAGTCTAGATTTGATATCCAGATCTATCAAGGGTGCACTGCCATTTTGACTCACTCTATTGGTGAAAGCAGGTCACATGATGAGCCCCAAAGTCAAGAGACAGAAATATATCCCTCCCATGAAAGCTAAGTGGAGAGAAGGAATATTTCTGAACAATAATTCACCCCAGCAGACTCATGTCAATATTATTAAGTGATCACAATATTATTTTACATTGTGTCTGAGTACAGGTTATAAATCCTTAGCAGCCACTATATTGCAAGAAAGCTGCTAAATATAAGGGGAGAAAAAAAATCTAGTTGAGACTTCTGGTTTTACAAATATTTAATGTACCTTATAGGCTAATAGATCTGGATACCAAATTCTATCTTTATACCAAAGAAAACATCACATTGTTATATTTTCAGAATAAATGTTACATTGTTATTAAATTGTGACTAAGTTAGTATGAAAATGTGCATATATACAATAAATATCAATGAAAATTGCCATTTGATTTTAAAATATCAGTGGTTTATTTAGTTATTTATTAATTACCTATGTTGTTTGGTAAAGAGAATATATTGAAAATCTTTAATAGTAGTTTGGTACTTTTCATTTTAAAAATACCCATAGTTTTCTCAATTTTGAAACTAAAAACTAAAAATGTGTAAGAACATATATAAATGTTACAATATCAAAACCGCCAACACGACCACTTCTAGTCCACTTATTTTAAACCATTCTAATAAATACTAAAAGGATATGTATTTTTCATTTATTCTGTTTATTTTTAATTAATCTTTTAAAATATCTCCAATTATCCTTCTTCCAAATGACTTTCTTTACATTTTAATATAAACATTTTGATGCTTCCTTGACATAATTAGTTTAAACATTAAAAGGAAGTAAACTTTGCAGATTCAGTATAAAAATATTCTACTGCAACTTGATTTTTATAACATAAGCATTGTGTTAATATATATAAAGTAAAATTTGCTTTTAATAAACTAGCATGAGAAAAGAAAGGTTTCCTGCAAACAAATGCAAAATGCTTAAAGTGAGCACAGAAAGAATGGATAGAATATGGGTCTGGATAAAATATGCAGGTCTGGATTTTATCTGTAAATGAGTATATATGCAACAAGTTATCTCTCAAATTGAGCACTTTAATAAAACACACACACACACACACACACACACACACACACACAACTACTACCTCTTACCAATATGTCATTAATCTAAACAGTGGTGACACTGTTAAATTCCTTAAAAGGCTTTCTTTAAATTGTATTTATTAATTAGCATACATTTAGGTGGGTGGGGAGAGAGTCTTTTTACAAAATTGTCCACAGCTAGAAAGCAATTTCGGCAACCTTGAGGCATAACTATTCTCAGTTTTAAGGGATTTTGGAAAATAAAGTGAAAACACAGTTCTCATGAAAGTAATTAGGTTTACAGAAGCTGGGATGAAAATGTAACTGTGAAGTGGCCTCTGGGTCTCCTAAACAATGGAAACAACTCATTAACCTTTCTCTCCTGGTCATTCATTCTCTCCACTCCCTTCATCCTTGGCTTCAAGGTTGTATGTATGTTGGAAAGATGGCTGGAAAGCCAAGCGCTTCAGGACTTTCCTCTGGTAACTGGGCAGACGGACCCTCCTTGTCCATTCTTCCAGGGCTCCCGTGGAGCCTCTGGCTTGTTCCCCACAGCCTCTCTGCCAGGTGCCCTCTGCGGCAATCGTGGTTATACAGGGAGCTGCGCTTAAAACGTCTCCGTGGTCCTGAGTCTAAGCCCTGCCTTTCATTATTGGGTAGCCATGTGGCTCTGGCCAAGGTAGTTGAGACCGCTGAGCGTAACTTCCCATCTCAGCAGTGAAAGATGTGGGGGGATTTCTTTAAGTGTTTTTCAATGTTGTGACTCACTTGTAAACTATAAAGAAAAATAAAATTTGATGATGATGATGGTAGTGATTAGTTTAGACACAATTTCATATTTTATTAACTAAACCTTGTGGGAAGAGCTCAGGAGATTTATCTCAGTGCAGTGGCGGATGCAATGGCGTGAGCGCACTCCGCCTATACAAGCTTCCTCGGCACACACCGGGGAAGTGGCAGCGCCCCGCCTGAGTAAGCCCCCTAGAGCCCCTACATAGTACCCTAACTTTCCTACCATTGGTTGCCCTAAAGATGTTGTAAACTTCTGATTGGTCTGGAATGTTATATATATGTCCCTGCACTTAAACAATAAACTTCAGACTGCGTCTTGAACCTGTCTCCGGAGTCGGGCATGCTTCGATAGGACTCCGTCGGCCTCACCCCCGCGGGACCCCCTGCTTCAAAACCTCATTATACTAACTGCTTCCTATTACCTTAGGGTAAAGTCACACAGCTTACTCCCAGGTAAAGTCCTGTCTGGTAGAACATTCCATTAGCAGGCTAACCTTTAAAACGCTCACCCTTTCTTTTGAATCGTGGTAACATTTCCCCATTGGCCTGTATAAGCAATTTCAAATTCTTAAAAACATTGTCACTTGAAGACTTCGACAGGCTTCAGAAGGGGTGAGCCTTCCACAACACAACTAGCTCACCACCTTAACATAGACATCCTAACCAAAATTCACACATTTCCCATAGATGGTCACCCTCAAGATTTGAATTAAGTGATTTATTTTATATTTCTTAACATCCTGAGAGAGAAAGTAGCAAGCCCAGGAACTCAGATCCAAACTACATTGAAACAATGCCTTTTATGTAGGGGGATGAACTGTAATATTTACTCCATGTCCATTGTTTTCTACCGACTATCACTTAAATGTAACACATACACTCTCCTACCAAGAGAGATACTTGAGAAATATAGGAAAACTCATCCAACATGTTAAGAAGAAATCCCACTAGGTAGATATGTTATAGAAAACATCTCATGCAACTTTGATAGTTTCCATGTACAGCCTAAGCCCTTGAATAATCTGATCTATTGTGTTCTTAGAAAGTTAATATAGCCAGTCCCAGCCTTGTGGCCCAAAGGTTGAGCATCGACCAGGAGCTCACAGTTCTATTCCCGGTCAGGGCACATGCCTGGATTGCAGTCTCCGTCCTCAGTAGGGGGTATGCAGGAGGCAGCTGATCATGCTTCTGTCTCATCATTGATGTTTCTATTTCTCTCTCCTTCTCCCCTCCTCTCTAAAATCAATAAAAAATATATTTAAAAAGTAAAAGTAAGAAAGTCAGTGTAAATATGGAGTAAAAGGCATCTCTAATGACTGCATACACATAATTATACAATGTAATTAATATAGGGGAAATCATCAATATTTAAGGTGTACATACCAGTGGAAATTTGGAAGAATAGAAACTTGACTTAAAAAATAGTATCTGTATCAAAAGAATAATTAAATTCTTGCAATGGCTCCCTGTCTTTTTGAAGACTAACTTGGGCTTCACTAAAATAACTTCACTTTTATGAAGCTTTCCAGTCTTCTCTTAAATGCATTCAGAAAGATAAGAGACCTTTTAAAATGAGTAAAAATTATGTAATCTAAGGAGTATATTACATCTTATTTAGGAATCGTGAGTAATGTTGAGGGCCAATAGTGAATATATTTAAAGAATCCTTACAATCTCATTGTTTTCTGTTTTTATGTTTTGTTTTGTTTTTTAAGGCATGGAAAATTAGAACACAAGCCAATATCTAATGATGAGAGGACAATTTTAAAGAAATATAATTCTGAACCTTATCTATGAGTTTCATTACAGTGTGATTTACTAATTAACACAGAGAGAATAGTTTAAGATTTCTAAGTTCTCATTCCTTGGAGGATTAGCTCACACATGATTGTTTCTATTGATCTTTCATACTTTTTAAAAAGGATTATATGAAGGCCATTATTTTCCACTTACCTATCCTTACCTTACCTGTTTGGGCAATTTAAATATGACATGCATGAAAGTAAATTTTTATTTCACAAATATAAAACATTAATCCACTTTTATAACCCAAGCATCATATCCTACAAATTATGAGACATAAAAGACAACTTAAATATGCTATCACACACAACAGGGAGGGGAAGCAGGACAGAGGAACTTAAACATTTCTTTAAACTCAGTAGGCAATTTTCTCTGTGTCCTTCATGCTACCAGTAGCTGACCAATGAATGCAGAATTTCTCTCTTTGATGAGTGTGGCAATTATTGTGGCCCCTTGCCTTAAACTGTCCTGGAGCTTCTGCTCATCCTGAAAAGAAAGGGTAAAACAATATTTTGGAAAGATGTCACATGCTAAATTTAGTAAAGAGTTACTTTAAAAATATATATTCATTTATTTAAATGTTTTCCCCAGCTTCATAGACATAAAACTGACACATAATATTGTATAAGTTTAAGAGACACAACTCAATTATACACACACACACACACACACACACACTAGAGGCCCAGTGCATGAATTCATGCACCTTGAAAGGAACTGTGGGCCTCAAGGCTGCAGTGGGCACAGGGGCAGGTCTCGGCCCATCCTCCATCCCCCATCTGGCCCCTCCCACTGCAGCCCCTGGTCCCATCTGCCTGCAGCCCCACTCCCGCCACCACTGCTCCCATGCACTGACAGCGCAGGCCCCACTTGCACCCATTGATGGTACGGAGCAATTGGGGCTGGCACCATCAGCAGGTGCAAATGCCAGCTGCGGGTGTGAGCAGAGCCGGCACCGGTAGTGAGAGTGGTGGCTCCGGCGCCAGCAGTGGGTGTGAGAGGCAGCTGCTGGCCCTGATTGCCCCTCAGGAGCAGGGCGAGGTGGAGAAGCCCTGAAGGACGAGCGGGGCCAGCACCTGCAGCAGGTGTGAGCGCAGGGCAGGACTATGGAGCACGGGAGCAAAGAATTTTCAGTAACCACCAGAGGCTCACCCCGATTACAGCAACCAGCGCCCCACCTTGGTCTGGTGCCCCCACTCACCTGCTCCACCATCCGGCTGAGGCCCACACCAGCCATGTTCCGTGCGTGCCCCCTGGTGGTCAGAGCACGTCATAGCAATCGGTTGTTCCACCGTTTGGTCTATTTGCATATTAGGGTTTTATATATATAGATAGTAGTGGCCCAGTGCACAAATTGGTGAATGGGTAGGGCCCCTCGGCCTGGCTAGTGATCAGGGCCCATCGGGGGCAGGACCAGGCCGGCCAGGGAGGGAGGGGTTGTGGGAGGTTAGACGGCAGGGGGCGGGGCGATTGGGGAGGCCAGATGCAGGGGAGGGACTGCAGCTGGGGCCGGCCAGGGGGAAAGTCCTCAGGAGGTTGGCCAGCTGGGGGAGGGACCAGAGGATGTTGGTTGGCCGCGGGAGGTTGGCTGTGAGAGCACACTGACCACCAGGGGGCAGCTCTTGCATTGAGTGTCTGCCCCCTGGTGGTCAGGGCATGTCATAGCAACTGGTTGACTGTCTGTTCATGTCGTAAAGGTTGCTTAGGCTTTTATAATATAGATATTATCAAATTATGAAGAGAACAGTTACCACATCTATCAATTCATAGTTACCATTTGATTCGGCAGGCGGGGGGGCAGTATAAAAACATTTAAGGTCTACTCTCTTAGCAACTTTCAATTATACAATACAATATTGTTAACTATAATCACCATGCTGTACAATTCTCAGAACTTATTCACTTTGTAACTGGAATTTTGTACTGTTTGGCCACTGTCTCCTCATCTCCTCCATCCCTCAGCTCCTGTTAAAGACCATTCTATTCTGTTCTTATGAGTTCAAGGAGCTACTGTTTAAGGTCGGCTACTCTCTGGCCTTGGAATTCTATGAAGCTCAGACCATAGTCACAGGCAGGGACTTGGTTTTCCCCAAATAAAGGAAAAATGCTTTTGCAAGCACCTTTCATTAAAGACAAAAATTATCTAATGAAGGTCACTAGAAAAAAACTAATGTAATTTCAAATGCTAACAGTATGAAACAAAAGATTATTCTATCTAATAAAGAGGTAATATGCAAATTGACCATCACTCCAACACACAAGATGGCCACCCCAATGTGGTCAAAGATGGCCAGCAGGGGAGGGCAGTTGTGTGCAATCAGGCCAGCAGGGGAGGGCAGTTAAGGGGGACCAGGCCTACAGGAAAGGACAGTTGGGGGGGACCAGGCCTGAAGGGGACAAAGTGGGGAGGGATCAGGCCTATAGGAGAGAGGAGTTGGGGGCAACCAGCCAGCAGGGGACACAATCGGGAGGGAGTCGCAGCATAACTACTCCCTCCCTGCAGATCCCCAGGGACCCGCTCCGCCCAAATCCTGCGCGGCAGCGCCATCTGCTGGATAGCGAAGGCAATTGCTAGACTAGCACCGCCCTAGGGATCCAGCCCAGACAAGGAGCCATCAGTCCTGGATTGTGAGAGGGATGTCTGATCCCGCTGGGATCAGGCCTAAACATCCGAGGCAGTCGGACATCCCTCGAGGGGTCCAGATTGGAGAGGGTGCAGGCTGGGCTGAGGGACACATCCCCCTGCACGAATTTCGTGCACCAGGCCTCTAGTCCTATATAATAAAATCCCAATATGCAAATTGTCTGAACAGTGGAATGACTGGTCGCTATGACATGCACTGACCACCAGGGGGCAGACGCTCAATGCAGGAGCTGCCCCCTGGTGGTCAGTGCACTCCCACAGGGGGAGTGCGGCTCAGCCAGAAGCCAGGCTCATGACTGGCGAGTGCAGCAGCAGAGGGGGTATCCTCCACAGCAGCGCTAAGAACCCCTTGGGAGATGTCCAACTGGGAGAGGGAGCAGGCTGGGCTGAGAGACCCCTCCCCAGTGCACGAATGTCATGCACTGGGCCACTAGTTTTCTTTTAATCCAATATCTGACCAACTTTGGGTCTTCACTGAAATTTGACTATTTCATTGATAATGCAAGCCTTTTCTTCATCTTGCTCCTGGGTGTCCTCTGACAGACTTATAAACTATGAGTACTAATGTGGGGGAAGGAAACTGGCTTTTTTGTAAAGTAATAAAAAGAGTTTTAGGGATAAAATAAGCAGGTTTAGGGAATTTTAGAAATAAAGAGGGTCCATGTGGGAGGAATGCATAGGTGAGGGTTTGGAGCCACCAGAAGGCATACAGTCAGAGACTAAAAAAGGTGCCACAGGATAAGGGGAGAGGAAGACATACATTCACAGAAGATAAGGAAAAGCCACAGAGTACAGACAGTCCTCGGGTTATGTGGGACTCGATGTACCTTGTTTCGTGGTTACGTTGCCATCTCCTATTTATTTATATATAAAAAAAGTTCTGTCATTTCAACATATGTCCATATGTACTTTATGTTTTTTATTATTTATTTACCACAAGTAAACGTCAGGAATTGTTATCTTTAAATTTTTTTTATTGTTTCACTTCATTACTGCTGTGTATGTGCTCCATGTGAGTGACGTAGGTGCTTATGTAGGTGGGTTCCGACTTAGGGTGAAAATCGCGTTACATCGCCCTGTCGGAATGGATCTCCCATGTAACCTGATGACCTACTGTATGGGAAAAAGGAAACAAACGTTCACAGAGGACAGAGAAATGACAACAAATGGCAGAAAGAGGAAAACAGATTTTCACAGCAGATAGAGAAATGTTATATGGTAAGGGGGGGAAAGAGAAAGGGGGTTCCATATGGGCTTTGGCCTTTGAAACTGATACTATTTAACAAAAGAACCAATGAGGAGAGCTTGGGGGCCCTAAATTAATGAAAGGTCCAATTAGAAAAGAGTCAGGTTCAAACAAAGAACTACAGCATGTATAAACCGGAGACAAAGGGACACGAGGCAGGATTTTTTATTTTATTTTGCCCATTAGAGAGAAAGAGAGAGAGAGAGAGAGAGAGAGAGAGAGAGAGACTACATTTTTATTAAAGAAATCTGTTAGTCCACGAATTTATTCTTCATCTTTGTGGGACAAGAACCCACAAGAAGTCTGTACCCTGAACCCCATGTTTCAGTAAGATCAGGCAAATTTGTGAAATGAGTTACCTCACAAGTTGTTAAATGTTGTTTTGCCTTTGAAATCATATTGCCTATTTAAATATATTTATTCTAATCATTTGGGCTTCTTGACACTATGAAGAAGTGATACTATGAGGGGAAATGAAAAGTGGAAACAGCTAACATCTTTAAGGTGTCTGGGTGAAGAATTGTGCTATGTTCCAAAAGTGGGACCTGGTAATCAGTCTCTGAACCTGGCATCCACCTTATGCCTTACAACAAAGTGTCACCAGCACCTATTGCTTCTGCTTCCTTCATGTTTCTTGAATTAATATTCTCCCCTCAAACTGCCCCTGCCAGCATAATGTCTCCGCCCTGAATTACTGGAACAATCCCATAAACAATCTCTCTAAAGCAGTGGTTCTCAACCTTCCTAATGCTGTGACCCTTTAATACAGTTCCTCATGTTGTGGTGACCCCCAACCATAAAATTATTTTCGTTGCTACTCCATAACTGTAATTTTGCTACTGTTATGAATCGTAATGTAAATATCTGATATGTAGGATGTATTTTCATTGTTACAAATTGAACATAATTATAGCATAGTGATTAATCACAAAAACAATATGTAATTATATATGTGTTTTCTGATGGTCTTAGGCGACCCCTGTGAAAGGGTCGTTTGACCCCCAAAGGGGTTGCAACCCACAGGTTGAGAACCGCTGCTCTAAAGTCTTATACTGTGTTACCCTGTTTCTCACACAGCAGTCAAAATACTTATTTTAAAATATCAATCTGACCCCATCCCCTTCCTGCCTAAAATCCTCTGACAGCTACTTCAAACTTCAGGATCAAGTCTGAACCATTTACCTGGTAAAGACAAAATCTTTTATCCTTCCAGCCTCTCCTTAAAAAAACACTCAAATCTCCAGGCCACACACAACTGGTGAAGATTGCCCAAGCAAGCCTTTTTTTCCCTAAGCCTCATCCCATTGCACCAGCTCATCCTTTGCCAGAAAAGCTTTCCCATTCCCTTCCCAGCTTAGCTGACCCGAGTTACTCTTTGTGGTTCCACCCACATATCAGTGACTCTTGAAATCGACCCTAACTTCTAGCCTCCAGCCAAATTTGGGTGAGATGAATCTGTTTCCACAGCTGTGAATTCCTCTAGCACACTGAATTCTAAATAGTCTTTTTAGTTGACCATTTATTTCACCACATGATGTTTCTTGATGTAAAGAATTTTTCATTTTATCTTTGAATATGAAACACTTAGCTCAATGC